AAATAAGTAGCATAGACAGTAGGTAGAAAATAGATGGGGGGAGGGCAAGAATAGTAGGGGAAATATAGAATCTAAAGTACTTGAGACACGTGGTCATAAACTAAAGGGGGGAATGGTGGGGGAGGGGTATACAGGGTGGAGGGGAATGAAAGGGGGAAATAGAACAACTGTAATGGCATAATCAATAAAATATAAATATATATATAAATTAAAATTTAAAAAAAACTTGTCCTCTACCAATTTAGGCCCTCATTATCATTATTGGGTCCTGCAAATTCACTGATGAGAGAAAAGTTTAATACGGCTACAGGAGTGATTACCCAGAGTAACTCTCCGAACAGCTAGAGATAAAGATTTACACATCAGTTTAATAAAGACCAGAGGAAGGGTTTTGAGGCTTCAAAGGATGGAAGGTTCTGAAGAGGCTTGTTTAAACAATGTTTTTGAGGAGAGTGGGGAGGGAGAAGGATACACCCAGTACCCAAGGTCCATCAGGCACCTCCTTGACTGGAGACAGGGCGCGACCGACCCTCCTAAAGCTCGGCTTCACTCAGACCCGGGAAGTTCTTTCAGTATCTGTTGCAGCTCAGAGGTTTCTCCTCTGAAGTATTTGTTCCACCACTTCTAGTATAAAGAAATCACTGTATTACACAGGTCTGGAGTCCAGGGAGAGGCTGTGACCAAGAGTCGTCAGCATATAAGTGGTATTTAAAACCAGGGGGAGGAGTATAGACAGGAAGTTCAAGGTACCCGAACAGGGAAAAATCGTGGCGGTGAGGAGAAACCGCTAAAGATGGGGGAGCACTGGCCGGAGTAGGAAAGCTGGTATCCTGGCAGCCGAGGGAAGAAAGCGTTTCAAAGAGGAAAGAGTAACTGTTGCATGAAGTGCAAACAGGGCCAGCAAGGTGTCCGAGACTCGCCCCTTGGATTTAGCAACATGAAGGTCACTGGTGATGTTACGGGAAATGAAGCGACCAGACACCGAGGGATTCTGGAGTACGAGGTTTATTCCTTTTTACGTGCACGAGCCCAGAGGAGTCAGTCTCCAAATTCTGAGCCCAGAACAAAGGATTCTTGGGGAATATATAGATTAGGGGTCTTCCTATCTACGTGGCGAAGCAGGATACAGAAGCAGAATGCGGTAATTAGTTCTATCTACGGGGCAGACGCAGAGTTCAAAGGCTAAATGTGAAAATTGGTTCTATCTGCGGGGGTGCTAGCCCTAGTCCTAGTGACTATCCGGCTATCTGCTTTACCTGCTCTTCCTAGACGGCCTTATTGTTCTCCTATGGCGCCTGGGGTCTTGGGTGAGCAAAGGTCTCCTGGGACCTCTCCGTTCATCTTCAGTCCTCACTGTCCGGCCACCCGCCCTCCCAGACCACCCCATCATTCTCTCTAGGGCGCCTGGGGTCTGGGCAAATAAAGGTTAAACAGAGGTTTTTCAAAGTTTCCCATATCAGTGACTTCGCTGAAATAGTTTCGGTGGCCTTGCTGGCGTGGATTCCATAGTGAAGTAGAGTTGATGATTGGACAGAGCATCTGTTACAGACAACTCTGTCAAGGGTTTTGCTAAAAAGGGAGAGAAAATACAGCTGGAAGGGTAAGTGGGATCAAGAGAAAGATTTTAAGAGACATAACACACCCTTTGGTCCGCTGATGACAGACCCATGCAATGGGGATGGGGAAAGAGATGAGTCAGGAAGAGGAATATACTGCCAAAGCCACATCCTTGAGTGTGTTAGAAGGAAGCGATTCACACGTTGAGCAGGTAAAAGGAGACAGAGGATGCTGCCTTGCTGAGAGGGTGACCGGGACAGAGGCAGTGTTTGGACAGGAATGCGGGCACAGGGGAAGATCTGACGGAGGTTCACGTCTGATTGCGCAGACACCTGTCGGAAATCACCCGACCGAGAACGGCAGTGTCCACATGAGTGCCGTTTGGTTGGGGCGAAAAAAATGCCTAGACCGTCATATTGCTATCAACTCCCCCTTCTCAGTCGTAAAAGAATTTCTCAGGACCGGCAGAGATACAAAGCTGGTGGTTTTGGTTTTAGGTACACGGAATACAGAGCCGAAGTGAAAAATCTAAAAGATTTTTAGAGCACCCTTGAAGAGCCACTAGGCTATAAAATCCAGGTAAGAAGTTTGAGCTCGTCGAACGTAGTTCGTATGTTACCTATGTCACATCACATAAACATTCAGGATTCAGATTGGCCTGGTCCTTTTTAGAATAAGGTTCAAATAGTCACACTGTAGAAAGCCAGAGGCAAGTGCGGGTGGGCTACCTCAAAAACGTTCCCAATTATCACCACCCCCCGCTATTCCCACCTTTGTGTAATCCTCCCCCCAACACCCTGAGTGTGCCCTGGACCAGGTGATTTGCTTCACACTAACAGAATGTGGCTGCAAGCATAAAGGGAGGTCACTTCTGAAATTCTGGATGAAACAAGCTATCACGCCAGTTTTCTGTCTCACCCTTCAGCCACCCTGAATTCTGGACACCCTGTATTTTCCCAGACACAGCTCAGCTGAACCAATTCACACTCAGACTTTTAAAAGAGAAATGTGATAAAGTCAAGTGAATAGACTAAAACAGATTTAAACAATTAGGCTAGAAATTAACTGGGAGTTTTAAAGAGAGTCAAGTGTGAGCTGAGGAACGCTTAGCCAAAATGTGGTTATACATGATTCCTGGGCAGAATATCATTTTACAGAGGTGACCCTTGTCCCATAAAGGACTACCGAGGATTTGGGGAAGCTGAGGACTGATGAATCTTCCCACAGTTATGACAAGAGAGAGGATCAATGACTAAAATATATTGTGAACTAGAGAACATGGTTTTAGGGAGAGAATTGAAAAGGAAGAAAATGAAACTGATCCCCTGGTTGTGGTCATAGATACTACCTACCCATCTCCCACAAAGTACTAGAATTAATGAGTGAAGCTGGCAAGGTCACTGGATTTAAGGCTAGTTTACAAAAATCCATGGTATATACCAACAATAAACAAAGACAAAATTAGAGTTTGAAAGTGAAGTCATTTACGTTTTGGAAAATATCATATAGGTAAGGAAGAGATTCGATGAAAAATGTGTAAGACCTAAGTGCCAAATATTATAAAACAGTATTGAGGGAAATTACAAAAGGCCTAAGTAAAGAGAAGACATGTCTTCATCATTTAGATTAGAAGATGGAGTTAGCACAATGCCAGTCAAAACCCCAGCAGGGTTTACGGACGTGAGCGCGTGTGTGCAGTTACGTGGGTATGAAAATTGACAAGGTGATTCTGTGAAAAGAGGCCACATAGGAAACCTGAGCAGCTCGGGGGAGGCCTGCGTGGCAGCCTTACCAACTCTGAGACCTCAACTGCAAAAGAACGTCTGAAATGAAAACTTAATGAACTAACTGCAGCTCCCTGGGGGCAGTCCTCGTCCTAGGCCAGAATCTTCCCGACAAAAGTCGACCTTTGCCTTGATTGAGCCCGTCTATTGTCTGCTTGATCCCATGAGAACAGACCTTTGGAATCTCCAGCGAACTTCCCTTTCTCCGCAAGCCCTCTCATTGTTATTGTTACCATGTTAATTGTCCACTGTTAAACTCCTTGTACCCACCTGCACCACAGAAGACTGTGTCTACCATTTTACCTTTTTATTTAAGTCCAAAGTTCTCCCCCACTTTGCTTTCTCCTGCCTCCCATGTCTCCCCAGTGGATTTCACGTAACCCCCTTACGTCTTCTTTTGATTGTGACATATAAAATAGAGCGCAAATCTGCCATTTTCCAGAGCATTTTCTCAGTCTGGGCAGATTTTTGCTTCCTGGCAATTGTCGTCAGTTTGGCTCAAATAAGCTCACAGAAATTCTCCACAGGTTTCTTACATTGACAAGTCTGAAATGTACGTAAAGTACGAAAGGCCAAGAAGGGCCGAGACAAACTTGAAAGAGAATGAAGCTGAGAGTTCACCACCAGACATGAAAACCGAGCTCTTTAAACCTGTGATGAGTCCGTGATACCGAAACAAAGATGGGCAAATACACAGAGACCACAAACGGGCCACGCCCGCACGGCCACCTGAGTGACGACAGAGGGCACCTGACCCTGCGGTGGAGAGAGAACTGTCTCTCGCTCATTGGTACAAGATACCTTATGGAGGAAGAAAGTCTTGGTCTCCAACCTTACACCAGCTGAATCACTTATTTAAATATGAAAAAAAAAAACCCACAGAGAAACAGCTTTATGATCTCAAAGTGGGCAAAACAAAACACAAGTGCTCACTATAGAAGAACAAATTAAAATTGAGACCTTTTGTTCATCATGAGACACCATTAAAATACTGAAAAGGCAGACCCAGAATGAAAGAAATCTACAATACCCATATCCGACCAAAGACTTCCCATTCTATTATAGAAAGAACGCTTGCAAAAGAATTTTAAAACAAGGGAAAATACTATGAAATGGCAAAAAAACAAAAACAAAAAATCTTAAACTGGCACCCCAAAAGATTGAATATATATATATATATATATATCCAATAAACAATATTAAAAGGTGTTCAATTTCACTAGCTATCAAATAAAACCATAATGTAATACCACATTTTAATTTTTTAAAGATTTTATTTATTTTTAGAGAGAGGGGAAGGGAGGGAGGAGAGGTAGAGAAACATCAATGTGTGGTTGCCTCTCAGGCGCCCCCTACTGGGGACCTGGCCTGCAACCCAGGCCTGTGCCCGGACTGGAAATCAAACCAACAACACTTTGGTTCACAGGCCAGCACTCAATCCGCTGAGCCACACCAGCCAGGGCAACATTTTTAAATGCTTGTTAACTTTAACTAGTATCCTTAGTAGATAAATATAATCGAGCTGACAGTTGGTCTGGTCCCTGGACCAATGAGATATTCTGGGACCTCACAAAAGAGTGCAGTGTAGGGACTGAGACTAGTTGTGTCCTCTCTTCACTGGCTAGTCACCACCAGCAGCAGAGGACATTCTAAGAGTTTTCATTGCTGCTCACGCACTGCCAGAGGGGGGATGAAAGTCCAGGGCGTCTGCAGTCCCCTGGTGCCCGGGAAGCTGCAGGTAGGACGGCAGCAGGTCAGCTGCCCACCTGGGACAGCCGGACGCAGCGTGGCGCTGCGGTGCTGCACGCCCCGGGCGGTTGCAGGCTCCAGCTCCCATTTCCTGTGAGGGGGAAACGCACACATGTAGAGACTGCTACCCTATGTTAAATCCCAGCCCAGAGATATACCGTCTCATCATAAAACTTGATATTAAGTGGTTGTTTTGTTAGCTATTCTGTAAAATCTTTTTCTTTAAGATTTTAATAATTTCTTAGAGAGAGAGGAAGAGAAGGAAGAAATATCAATTGGTTCTCTCTCGTGCCCCCTACTGGGGACCTGGCCTGCAACCCAGGCATGTGCCCTGACCAGGAATCAAACCAGCAACTCTTTTATCTGCAGGCCAGTGTTCAACCCACTGAACCACACCAGGCAGAGCTCACTTAAAAATCTTATAACCCATTTTAATTTCTTAAAGATGAGAGTTGCTCTTGTATATGTAGTTACAGTTTAACAGGAACAGGCTTTGCCTTTAAGAAGAACAAAGAACAGTACAGATTTGAATGACGGTTTGTTGACAAGCATAAATGCAGAGGCTAGTTGTTTAAGTGTGAAGCAACAGGTATTTTCGTTTGTTGAAATACAGCTCACGGCCACTACGTGTTTAGCACTCATTCCAAACACACCCATCAGTCCGCTCGACCTCCTACTCTGAGGCACTGCCAGCCAACGATCCAGGAGGTCAGGCTCCATGGAAACAGCTGCACCGACAGCTCCCCCGATGTCACCTTCTGGCCGGTGATCCTCCACTGTGATAACGCGGCCACCTGTGCATTTTGCATCGGAGACGATGGTGGCAGCATCCAGGGGCTTAGCGGTAAACAGGTCGATGACGTGGATCGAAATATCTGGTTTGAAAAGAGCATCAGCTGCTGCCAGTACTTCATGCTGAGTAACTCCAGCTCCAATAACTGTGACCTTGCCATTGACGCTGTGGTGAATGACCTTGGCTGGTCCAATCTCACAACTTTCTTGTGGGGTGTAAATAACGTCAGTTTCTGGGCGATTGGTCCGAATGCAGCGCATGCCCTTGGTATGGGCTGCCAGGAACACAGCATGCTCTGTGGAGACTGCATCACTTGGACAGAAAGTGGTGCGGTTGGGCATGGCTCTGAACATGGCCACTTCCTCCAGGGCCACCTGGGAGGGGCGATCTTCATCAACGGAAACCCTGCCGTGGGACCCAATAAGTTTGCTTCGAAAGATGTCTCCCGTCCGGATCCGATGAAGTGCTTGGGTCAAAAAGGCAGCGAAGGTGCTGGCAGAAGCAACGGTCCAACCACGGGTGGTGCATCCCAGTGCCACGATCACCGTGCACTGCTCGGCAGGAAAACACTTGCTGAAGCACTCAGGGTGCTTTTTCCTGAACATCTCAGAGAAGGCGGAGTTCTTGCTGCCGCCGCCCAGCACAAGGACTGCATGATTTTCACAGCCCAGCTTGGCCAGAGCCAAACCACGTGCTTTTCGAGCATTTACCTTGTCACTGACTTAGCAAGACGGTGGAGAGGTCATCTCTACGTCTGTGATGTTGATTCGAGGCGAGTCTCCAACACAGGGTTTTGGTTCGAGATGCCTGTTGCCCTCTATCTGGCTCTCAGTTAATTTGATAATTGCAGCTGCTCTTTCTGTTGGCCTTGGCTTTCTGTGGGAGCAACTTTCCTTGCAAGTTCCCCCAGCCAACACGGATGAGAGTAATCATGACTGAGACATGATGTGATCTGCTTGGGGAGGAGAGGTGGTGGCCAGTTTCCCAGAGGAAAAAGGAGTTGAGCCCCTTCCTCCAAGGGCTTTTATTGGGTTATAAATACACAGGAATACAGGGCGGCAAGGATCAAACACTAGATAACATTTCAAAGAAATCTGAGGGCTTAGTATGAGTCAGAGTCTGTCAGGAACACAGTTTTAGGGTTTCCTGCTCGAACCCTTAACATATGAATGAAAGCACTCTTAGCAGAGCAGATTTCACAGATTTATCAGGAAGTCTTTGTGGTGCTAGATTTTCCCCCAGGACACGCTCTAGCAAGGCAAGGAGCTGCACCTCTCCCCATCAGGTATTCAGGCTTAAGGGGATTTGAGCCAGGAAGCACTTCTCACAGAGAACATGGGGACCCGGGGTTTGACAAAGCGGGGTGGGGGGGGAGCAAAAGTCCATTGCTCTTTGTTGCAGCCCCCCAAGTCCTTCCATGAAGGCCTCCCAAGTGATCGAGTCTGGCTTAGGTTGCCCCCCACTGTGAGGGGTCTTACCCATCATTGACTTCCGACCAAGCTTTGGGGGCAGGGAGAGGAAACTGAGGCAGCGTTTGCTACCAGATACAAGCTTTGTCTCCTGCAGCTTGCATTCCAAAGGTCGTCTCTCACCCTTAGCCACAGGGAGTGGAGATACAATTCCTAGAACCAGGCAGAGCAGTCCACAACAGCTTTCCATGATGATTATCTGCATCCTCAGTGCTTGGAATATCCCAGCCTTTGAAGGTCTTGGCAGTTACAATAGTGGGCTTGTTATTCACTTGAGTGGCTTGCCAGAATATCTCCTGCAGCGTCTCAATGTCGTGGCCATTCATCACGTAAGCATTCTACTCAAAGACTTCACAGCGCTTCCAATAGGTGTCCACTGTTCTCAGTGGTCAAGACGCTTCTGTAGCCCAGGTTGTTCACGTCAAAGATGGCTATGAGATTATCCAGACTGTAGTGGGAACTGAGGGCCAGTGCCCCCAGATGGGGCCCCCGAGACTCACCATCTCTTAAGCAGCAGAACACCTGGTAGCTGGTGTTAGGGTGGTCAGTGACGCGGACTGTGAGGGAATTCACAAAGAGAAGAAAAGGCAGAGAGCAAATTTTTATTCACTTTCCAAGGAGGGGAAAGGGGCCTGGTGTGGAGCCATCCACCAGCAGGGAAATGTGGGGGCTTTGAGTTTTTACTGATTATAACTGAACCACAAAATGGTGGGGCGGGTGCTGTTGGGCTGCGAGGGGAGTTGCAACGCAGGAGGTTTCCTTGGCTTCGCATGAGCTGCAGTTTGCAACAGTGTTATCTTTTGCCTGTGGCTGTTGGCGGCCAAGTGCGGTGGTTAATCACTTCTGTTCTTCCTTCCCAGTAATTTCTAGTCCGGGGGACATAAGCTCAAAAGAGTAAAATGACAGTCATGTTTAACAAGGTCATAGGCCTGCTCAGCAAATGACACCGTCTCTGTCCTTTCGGCTGGCCTTGTCAAAGTCCTTGCCAGTATATGGCATCCCACACGCCCCCGGTCCTTGTCCAAGCCACCCGATTGCCATATCAACAAATGCCAGTCACTTGCAGAGGATGAACCGGCCGTGCCGCGGGTTCTCCGGGTCCTCCTGTCTGTATCTCATGACGTGAAAGAAACAGCACGGGCGTGGCAGCGTTGCTGCAGACACGGGGTGGCTGGGGCTCAAGGCGCACGTGGCCCTGAAGGAGCGGCTGTGCAAGCGGCTGGGCCAGCGCCCTAGCACCTGCAAAGTGTCCACGTCTGTCCTGGCTTCATCGGCCACGACAACGCTGGCCTCAGCGTCAGCTGCAGCCGCAACCCGTCCACTGTCTGAGGGGAAAATGGCTGCAGCCAACAATGCTGCACACCGTGAACCGAAGTATACACTGGTAGAACCAGTTTGGAAGATTGATAACTTAACAAATAACAATACTCTATAACTTAGCAATTCTGCTCATAGCTATGTATCTAGCAGGTATGTATATAGGTAGGTAGGTAGGCAGGTAGGCGATAATTTACCAAAAGACACGTACAAGAATGTCCATAACAGCAAGATCCCTGCCCTGGCTGGTGCAGCTCAGTGGATTGAGCGCTGGCCTGCGAACCAAAGGGTCGCCAATTTGATTCCCTGTCAGGGCACAGGCCTGGGTTGTGGGCCAAGTCCCCAGTAGGGGGCGCACAATACAGGCAACCACACACTGATGTTTTCCTCTCTTTCTCCTTCCCTTCCCCCTCTCTAAAAATAAATAAGTAAAATCTTTAAAAAAAAAAAAAAAAAAAAAGAGCCCGATTCCTAATAGCCGCAAACTGGAAACCATCCAAATTCCCATCTCCAGTAGAATGAATAAATTGTGGTAAATGTATCTAATGGGATATCCTACGATGGTGCAAATGAATGATCAACAAGTACATACAACAGGAAAGAATCGGATACGTGCAGCTTTCAGTGAAAGGAAAAAGAGACAGGTATCACATCACTTTGTTTATCTAAAGTTCCTTGACAAGCGTACTTCTCTATGATGTTAGAAGTCGGCTCTCGGGGTAAGGACAGTGACCAGAGCCAGCGGGAGGGCCCTTGCTTGGGCGCTGGAGCTGATCATGTTGTAGCCCAGTTCTGGGTTCCCGGTAAACAGGTTCATTCACTGCGTGAAACTTATTGAGGCCCCGGCTGGTGTGGCTCAGTGGATTGAGTGCCAGCTTGTGGACCGAAAGGGCATGGGTTTGATTCCTGATCAGGGCACATGCCTGGGTTGCAGGCCAGGTCACCAGCTGAGGGTGTGTGAGAGGCAGCTGATCCATGTTTCTCTCTCTTTCTCCCTCCCTTCTCCTCTCTCAGGAAAAAAAAACAAAAACAAACTTTATTTAATCCATTTCTCTGTGTATGTTTGTTTCAATAGTCGGTTGTTTTTAGAAAGGATCAGGAAAGTGAGCAAAAAACAGCAAAGAAGATTTGAAGTGAACAGTGAAGAAGGAGGAAAAGCAGAATGCAATGTCTTGAAAGCCACACAAAAGTAGTTTATTTAGAAGGGAGAGGTGTATCTGAGATATATAAAGAACTCTAACAACTCAGCAGTAAAAAGGCATACCTCTCCTTACAAATGGGTGAAGGATTTGAATAGACATTTCTCCAGAGCAGGTATGTGAATGGCTAAAAAGCACAGGAAAAAATGCAAAACATCATTAGTCGTTACGGAAACCAAATCAGAACCACAGTGAGATCGGACTCCCCTCCACTGGGACGGCTGTGCTGCAAAAGACAGGCAATAACAGGGCGTGCAGGGCACAGGCAGATGGGAACCCGCACACCCTGCCCTGCGGGTGAAGGGTGAAACGCCGCAGCCTGTGAGCAATAAGCACATGTCTCGGGTGGGGAGACATGCCCCTGGGGTATGCGGATTGCTTTGAGCTAAAGGCTCAAGAAAAATTTCTGCCCCTCCCTTAACTACCTAGAAGAATTTGAATTGGGGGCCTTGCCCATAATACGAGATTATCAGGATAACCTCTTTTGACCTAGCCGTAGGGCGGGGCAGACTCCTAATCACTAAACCTGCTCTCTCTGCAGAACCCTCAGACGCCCCGAGGCTTCTGACCCAGCCCCCGCTCAGAAGGCCACAGCAACCTACCCGCCTTCCCTTTCTGTCTCTGAATCCCTCATGTATGTGGGGCTTCTGACTTTCACGTGTCTGCCAGATCGGCATACGTTATGGACGTAAATTTAGTTATTTTCCCTTGTTATTCTTTCTCATGTCGATTTGATTATTGGACCAGTTGAAAGAACCTTGAGGGCAGAGGAAAGGATCTCCCCCCACAGCAGCACTGCTCATAAGGGTCAAAAAGTGAAAACAACCCAAATGTCCACCCACTGGTGAATGGATAAGCCAAGTCCGATATAACCACAGGATAGATTATTCTTCGGCAACAAATAGGAATGCAGTGCTGATACACACTGCAACACGGATGAAGCTCATAAACATTGTGGTAAGGAAAGAAACCAGCCACAAAAGGCTATCTCTCGCATGGTGCCGTTTATAAGGATGTCTAGAATGCGCAAACCTGTAGAGACAGAAAGCAGATTAGCCATTGCCTGGCCAGAGGGGGAGGAGAGAGTGGGAGGAAGGAGGAGTGACTGATAAATTTTCAAGGTCTTTTCGGGGGTGATGGAAATGTTCTAAAAGTAGGTTATGGTGATGATTGTACAACTCTGTAAATATACGAAAAACCCCTGAATTGTACAGTGTAAAAGGGTGAACTTTATGGCATACAAGTTTTATCTCAAAGTTATTTTTAAAAAGAAGGAAGGAGGAGTACTCCCACAGGGGAACAAAGATAAGGAAACTGGTTTAGACGGTCCCCCACTAAAAGACCCTACTCACAGGAAAAATGGAGTCAACTCATTCAGGGACAAAAGAAATCCTCTGTACGTGAAAAATGAAGACCCCTGAGCCACGAGTCTAAGCCTAAGGAAAGGCCCCCAGGAAGTCAGTTGCTTGAAAATGAAATCTGAAGGCCCAAAATGGCAACAAAGCATTATTGTTCTAGTATCACATTTAAAGCAAAAAACTTTGATGGATCTGCAAAAGGAAACACTACAAGCTTTTTTGATCGCTGCTCCTAAAAGGATAAGAAGTGGAGTCCGGGGAGGGAAAAGGGCAGAGATGCTGCCAAAGACAGACAAGTCGGTACTCTCTGGGCTGAAAGCACCAAGGCTGAGAAGTGAGTCAAAGGTTCAAATTCTCTGAAAACACGCGTGAGCTGGATAAAGTGAATCCAGGTTTTCCCATTGAATCCCAAGGTGTTTCGGTTTTAAAAGCATGGCTTACATTCTCTACAATATATATTAAAAATAATTAAGAATTGTTGCACCCGGGATGGTGTGGCTCAGTGGCTTGAGTGCCGGCCTGCAAACCAAAAGGTCGCAGGTTTGATTCCCAGTCAGGGCACACGCCTGGGTTGCAGGCCAGGTCCCCAGTAGGGAGAGTGTGAGAGGCAACCAACTGATATATCTCTCACACAACAATCTTTCCCTCCTCTTTCTCCCTCCCTCCCCTCTCTCTAAGAAGTAAATAAATAAGATCTAAACATAAAAAGTAAACACATATTGGCATATACAGACCTGTATGTGCACATATATGCAACAAGTAAATGTCTATTATTCATCTTTAAAAATACTGTTTTATTTAGTAAGTGACAAGCTTAAAAAACTCATCGCCTAAAAATACAGTGTAATTGGAGAAACCTGAAAGAGTTTTAAGTGTTTGCATAATATTTGAAAGCCTGAGTCACACAGGGGCATTCATTAACTCACTCAAATGACATTCACTCAACGCGGGCTTTGATCCATGCTCTGCTCAGACAAGATCGGGACCGTAGATGAGGCAGGAAGGGGAGGGACCTAAGATTCTCAGGAAAGGAGGGACAGAGGGGATGGCCACTTCTCCGGGCCTGTCAGTGTCACCACTGCCTTGGACTTCAAAATCAGTGTGCGTCGGCAGGACCCTGAGGCCAGGACCAGGCTCCGTGAGGTTCTGAGGGAGGGAGGGATGCCTGAGTTACTGGATGGGGTGGGCGAGCTTTGAGGCAGGACTCTCTGGAGAATAGATCTCGCCAACAACTAGATCCTGAGCTGGATTTTTTCCCTCTGTTCCGCTTCCAGGATGGTGCCCCTCCTCAAACTCTTCTACAAGGTCTGTTTAGGAGTATCCAGCCATGTAATATGAAACACAGAGACATTAATTGAAGAAGATACAAGAAATGTTGTACATAAGGCAATGACGCCTCAGTCCCCTTCAAAGGAGGCACCTTAGGACCTCACACAGTTCTCCCAGTCGCCATCAGCTGCCCCATTGTATTTTCCTGAATCTCCTCGAAGGTCTGAAATCTCTCCCCTTTCAAAGGTGATTTTAGTTTTAGGAGAAATCAGAAGTCACAGGGCACCAAATCTGGGCTGTAGGGGGGCTGAGTCACCTGGGTGATTTGATGTTTCAGCAAAAACCTCTGCACGAGACATGATGCATGAGTGGGCATGTTGTGATGAAGCTGCCAATCCCCAGTTGCCCACAGCTGCGCCGTCTGAGTCATCTGCATAGTTTCTGCAGAAGAATGCTCAGACTCAACACAAAGTTTGATGCACATTCGTTGCTCTACTCAGTCATTTTGGATGCGACGGCCACACAGTGCACATGCTCGCTCGATGGCATCTACCGCCCCCAGTGACCAGGACAGTGAACTCTGTCATGTCCACGCATGCGCATTCCAGTCCACTCTCCTTGGCTGCCAGGTTACATCGATGTCACACAAACTGTTCTTGTTATATTAACAATGACTGGACTTTTTCTGCACAGACCTCGTATGTCCTCAGTGGGTTAGACCTTCACAGTTCTCCATCCACCTGTGTCCTTGCACACCCGTGGGCCAGGGGCAGGGCACACACTCAGAGCTAACACTGTGACCTTGGCTGGCCCAGGATACCAGGCTGGACGGACGAGTAAGGCAATTCCTCTTCTTTTGCCACTATTTTGACACATGGCTTTGCGATTCTTAGTGCTTTAGTGAATGTTGACGAAAGACATTCCCTACCATTAAACGCAGAGCACGTTCTGATTCCATATTTTTAATATAAGAAACGTTTCCAACTGCAGAAATTCATTCCTAACTTGAGGAGAAAATATTTTCTCACTGATGAAACTGATCAAACTGGTGTATAATCTTTTGGGAAGAAAAGCAGTAGCAGTAGTAAAACTTCAGCTGGGAACCATATGTTTTTCAAAAGCAGCCACTTTAAAGGGAGGGCAATATGGCAGCGACAG